TCTCAACAGAATCAAAGCCCTTCTTTAAATCAATGAACATTAGACATAGTGGCATCTTGAACTCCCGAGAAACCTCAATGAGCTTGGTTACCATGTGGATATGGTTGATGGTACTGAATCCTTTTCAGAACCCAGTTTGCTCACATGGTTTTCCTTCATCTTGTGTTCTGCCAATCCTATTAAGGATGATTCAAGTGAAAAGCTTGTAAACAACATACAACAGGCAGATTGGGCGATAGTTGCTGATGTCATGGAAGTCTCCCTTCTTGTATAGTAGTACAGTCCTGCTGGATTTCCATTGGGAAGAAACTTGTATTCACACAGGTAGCGTGTGAAGAGCTGAGCCAGTATATTGATGAGTACCGACAGCACATTCTTAAGGCGGTTGGGTCTGACATTGTCTGGGCCACATGCTGTTCGCTCCTTTCTGACGAAATGGTGTGTCGAATATCAGAAGGGAGAACATTGGGAACAACATATCCATCCCCCGGAAATTGGTATGTGGGCAGGTGGACATAGCTCTCGAAGAGATCCGAGAAGAAATCATGGATAATCTTCTCCACTGTCTTTCCGGAAGATGTGAAGATCCATCAGGATGTCGGAGGGCAGTCATCTTGGTCTTGTAGTTGGCAAAGGACAGGCCGGCATTGCGAATGCTTTTCCCAGCTTCTACCACATCAGCCAGCACTGCTGCTCTTCTCTCTTTGAGGTCTTCATTTACCGCTTTTCTGCACTGCTTTGCAAGCTTGGACGTTCGCTTGTGGTTGCCTGAGACTCACGCCAAGCCATGTTGGTGAATAAGCTCAAGAGTTTTTGAAGATAGGCATCTTTTTGTGGCTATCTCCCTCTCGGCATTCCTCACGCAATCATGGAGGTGCTGAACCAGTTGATCCTATTCCTCGTCAATGTTGTCAATGACGGCATCTTCCCATGTTGCCGCAATAGTGTCAAAGAGCTCCCAGTTGGTGGACATTCTGGGATTTCTCTTCTTAAATTTTGCAGCCCTTTCTCCCCACTCTGTGAAGTAGAATTTGGCATGAAGGAGATGGTGGTCTGATTCCGTTTGGAATTTTGGAACAACAGCGACATCAGTCAGGCAAAACCGTCAATTGAATATGATGTTGTCAATTTCATTGTGGAACCATCCACTGGGAGACTCCATGTCCAACGTTTAGATTTGGCCTTCTGGATCTTACCATGGTTGGTCTTGGTTGACATGATGAACTCAGACAGTCTCTCACCCTCTTTGTTCCATTCTAGGCCAAGGGTCCTGATGTCGAGTTCTTCAGCCGATCTTCTCGGTCCTATCTTGGCATTAAAATCACTGACAATGATCTTGGAGAAGGTGTGGTCTTCTTTAGAGAACTTCCTTCAGCTCCATGTAGAACTTCTCAATTTCTTCTTCAGCATAATTGGATTTTGGTGCATAGACAATGAAGATAGAAACAGCCAGCAGTGAGCCACATCTATTCACGTGTAATCGTCCGATTCGAGTTGTTAGGCATTTGAATGAATCAATGCTCATAGCCACGTTTGTGTTGCAAGGACACCCACACCACCGACGCCTGTTTGGTCGCATGTTCTGAGGAACAGTTCTTCTCCAGTATCAAAAATCCCGTGATGTGGTTGATGCCTTCTCATCTAGGTCAGACCAATGATGTCGTACTTGATCTTTCACGCTTTCACCATTAGGTCCTCAATAAATGCATCCGATGCCAGTGTACGTGCATCGAAATTACAGTCAGTCATTTTCATCCTTCCTTGTTTTGGCAACCTTGTTCAGCCTTGAGATTTTATCAGCTTCTGCTTCCTCATCCTTCTTTTTTTTTTAATAATTTATTTATTTATTGAATCACTGTGGGAAAAGTTACAGAGCTTTCGGGTTTAGGTCTCAGTCATGTAAATATCAAACACATTTCCCTTTACCAATACTTATTTTTAACCCCGAACCCCAATAGACCCCCACCTCCCACCCCTCCCAATTCTTGTGAGGCAGATGAGTTCTAGTTAATACTCTATCTACTTTGACTAGATAGATTGTTTCGATAGAAGATGCACAATTATTGTTTAGAGTTTACGACCCACCCCCCACAATCAGATATGCTGAAACAGCGTTGTGAAATGATTTGCTTTCTACAACTTGGTTTAAGAATAAAATGATGGTTTTGAATTTCTGCTATTTTACTTATTGACCCTGGAAGAATTTCTATTAAAAGTTAGATAGTTAAGAGATTGGTTTCTGTGCCCTGGAGTCGTGGCCGTGCCGGAGAGCCGCTCATGGGGGGCAGCTGGCGACCTCGGTGGGGCGTGGGGGACGGCCCACAAAGCCCCCCTTCCCATGAGGTCCCCGCCGCTCCCGCCGAGCCCGGCTCAAACCTGCCGTCCACAAGGCTCCCGTGCGGCCGCCATCTTTCTTTCCAGAGAGGAGCGGGTGGGCCGGTCAACACCCTTTCCCCTCCGGGCAGGCTTGGTGGCACGGTTTAACACATAGTCCATTTGCTTTTCTGCTCCAAGCGGCTGGTTCTCTGTGCTAAGTCCTTGTGCCTCCGGGGCCGTGGCCGTGCCGGAGAGCCGCTCGTGGGGGCAGCTGGCGACCTCGGTGGGGCGTGGGGGACGGCCCACAAAGCCCCCCTTCCCATGAGGTCCCCGCCGCTCCCGCCGAGCCCGGCTCAAACCTGCCGTCCACAAGGCTCCCGTGCGGCCGCCATCTTTCTTTCCAGAGAGGAGCGGGTGGGCCGGTCAACACCCTTTCCCCTCCGGGCAGGCTTGGTGGCGCGGTTTAACACATAGTCCATTTGCTTTTCTGCTCCAAGCGGCTGGTTCTCTGTGCTAAGTCCTTGTGCCTCCGGGGCCGTGGCCGTGCCGGAGAGCCGCTCGTGGGGGGCAGCTGGCGACCTCGGTGGGGCGTGGGGGACGGCCCACAAAGCCCCCCTTCCCATGAGGTCCCTGCCGCTCCCGCCGAGCCCGGCTCAAACCTGCTGTCCACAAGGCTCCCGTGCGGCCGCCATCTTTCTTTCCAGAGAGCCCTCATCCTTCTTAAACCTGCTGTATTGGTGGCTCTTTCAGGGTCAGGGGAATCAGATCAATTGTACTTACTGTTTTTAGCATACCAAATATGCCACAGATAGATTTCCAGATTCTGCAATGCGGGCTGGATACTCTCAATAGCTTGCCAGGCTCTCCGAGAGGAACAGAGGCTTTTAGGGTGGCCTCTAATTGCCTTTGCAGTTGTTCCCATGGTTCAAACCATATTTGAACCCCATCAAATACGGTGCAGTAATCTTGAAGATGGGTATTAAGCGTCTTATGATGTGTTGCGTGGCCATGAAGCAGCCGAGTGGTCCGGAAAGCAGCCTGGAGTTTGGTGGTGGCTGGGTAGTGAGGTAGTGGAGGCATGTTCATGAGGTATTTATCTGGTACCGGCAGGGTGGTGCTTCTGGGTGTGATTCCTTGGTCGCTGGAGATTGGTGGAAGCTGGCAGGGCAGGGTAGTTGGGGCTTCTGGGTTTGTTCCCTGGGTCACCAGAGATTGGTGGGAGCAGCAGAGGATCTCTGTTCCCAATTCCTGTTGAGCCTGGAGTCCAAGGTCACAGAGTTCCACTGACCTGGTTCTGTGGGCCTTCACTCGTGCATGAGTCTCGGCCCGAGCGTCTGGAAAGCAGCCTGGAGCGTGGCAACAGCTGGGTAGTGGAGTTAGGGGAGGAAGCAGTGTGGAGTTGGTGCCTAGCCCTGGCGAAGCTTGGTTCACTGGGCCGATGCACGTGATAAAATATATTTATACTTAATTTTTATCTTAATAAAATTTAAGTGTTTTTACAATTTATGTCACAGCAATATGTGAATTATTCTATATCTTCACTAGTATATTTTGTATTGCCAGTAATCTGAATTGTAGCCTTTATCAAGAGTCTAAAATACAGTACCTCATTAAATAAATGTTTAGTTTTCCTCATGACTACTGATATTGACCAGCACTTATTTAAAATTTCTGTTGTTATTTTTTCAAGTAAGGACATTTTATAAGATAGAGAATATTGCAAGGAGAGATAAAAAAATGTTACAAATTCAAAAGAGAGCAAGGGCTTCTCCAGAGAAAGAAGAGAGTCTCATGAAGAAAAAAGAAAGAAATTACATATCTATTGATCATTTCCTTATGAAGCTCCTAAATCTTTTATAAAATCTTTTATATTCAATAACAAAAATGATTTTATTTTTGTTATTGAATATCAAAAGCTTTTAACAAAAAAATTTGGTTTTCAGAGAAATGGAAATTTGTTTTATGTTCATGAATTTGAAGAATTAACATAATTAACATTGTCAAAATGAACACATACTGCCCAAAACATAATGGGGAATTGAGCAGTCCTATCAGAATTCCAATGGCACTCTTCAAGGACACATAAATAACAGTACTAAAGTTTCAGTGAAACCGCAAAACCTTTAAATAGTCAAAATAATTCTGAAACAAATAGGGGAGGGTCTTATGCATCCTGTCTTAACACTATACATAAGTTATACTAATCAAAACAGTGTAATATTGGGACAAAATCAGACACTCAGATTAATATATTAGAACTATACACCTTCACATAAAATTTATAGCAAAAGATCAAAGAGCATAAAAAAAGCATCTTAGCTATTAAATGTGACAGATCTGGTCTACAAATTGATCCTTGAATAGCAAAAAGGAAACTTTTTTTTTTTTTGAAGAATTGTAAAATTGTAATACCAAGTTAAAGAACAGAATGGATAATCACTTCATCACTTCTTACATGATGGAATTGATTATAAAATATAATTGTAGGTCATTTGTTTTTTGCTGTGATCATGACTATTAAATAAAATCAGTTAATCCCATGCCATAGAGCTTTTCGGACTAAATCATTGTTATCATATTCCTAATCCTAAAGCATTACTTTCCAATAATATGATTTTTAATTTAAAAATAAAATAATCATCATTGCTTTCTACATTCTAGTTGCTTGGGATTTTTTCTTTCAGAGTTGCATTTGGAAACTGCAATGGATTGGCTGTGGTGGATTTTATACAGAAGACAGTACTGTTAAGCATGGGGACCATTGACCTATATAGATCAAGTGATCTATACCAACGACAACCAAGGTCTCCTCGAAAAAACAAGCAGTTCATTGCAGGTAGGAAATAAAGATGGCTATGAGTTTGGTTAGTTCATCTGTTTTCTTGCATTTAGATTTCTTGTCTTCTGCACTGCTATTCAAATGCATGGCATTATAAAGTTAGCATAATTTGCATGATCATATAAACATATAAGGCAAAAACTTCAAATCTTTTAATATCAACAGGGTATTTAAATTCCAATTTGCTGTTAAAGTTAGGAACCATTTAAAATTTCCTTTATTGGTTCCCAGAAGAATAATTTTCTAATATGCTCAATCCCCATTTGAAATTAATTTTTAAGTCATATATTTAGTTTTTTTGTAAAGTAAAAGGCCCTCCCATTGATCATCGATTTGCTTGAGCGGGCCCAGTAACGTCTCCATTGGAGACTTTGTTGTTACTGTGTCTGGCATATCGAATACGTCACAGGGAGCTTGCCAGGCTCTGCCGTGCGGGCAAGATACTCTCGGTAGCTTGCCGGGCTCTCCGAGAGGGGCGGAGGAATCGAACTCGGGTCGGCCATGTTGGTTGCCTGCAAAGCAAACGCCCTACCGCTGTGCTATTGCTCATTTTAGCAGTCTCCTTTTCTTGTGGGATGATTAGTATTTGGGGCAGATATTTTTATAAATTCACTAAATATTAAATTGACCATGAAAATGGTATTTTTCTTAATAACTGCTGATAGATTGCTATATATTTATTTTATACTTAAATTAACAGAGCACAGGCAGTAGGACTATCCATATTTGGCATGTCAAATGATTCATAATTATATACATCTTTTTCTCCACTAACATTGTTTAGCTGTTAAAGAAAGCTAAGTCAAGAGAGTAGCAGTTGGAAACATACAGATGTATTATTTCCAAAGTTTAAAATTTATTTTTATTTCACTTTTTAATAAGTAATTGAATATTAGAGACTTTTATTAATACCCATGCAAAGAATATCTTTAAATAAAAAGAGTATGTGAGTGATTGTAGCATTTTTACTAAATAGAAGACTTGTCAAAGCTAAGCACTGGATGAGACACTAGAGGAAAATCATTTTATTTAATCTTTTTATTCATTTTTTTTTAGGAAATTCATTTTAGACGGGTGAAAGTTATTGTCATACATTCATTACAGAGTTATTGAAATTTTCACTCTGTATTAAGCTTTCTTTTGTAAACTTCAAATCTAAATTGCAAGTTTAGGCAGTTGGAGGGTACACATAGTTTTCCTTCTAGAACCAGATTTCTTTGTTTTTTGTTAGGGATTTGAGACTTTTAGCAATGCTGAAAATACTGACTTTTAATAGGAAGGCAGAATAAGGAAAATTTTGCGCACATATAAAAAAGATTCATTCACAACTGGGGAAAAGAAAGTTGATTTTGAAAGGTCATGGACTCAAAGGTAGTATAATGTTAGGGGATAGTTGTATTGGTTGCAGGTTGAAAACACCAATTTGGTCAGAAAAGCTGAATCCTATGACAAGTTACCTGCTGGATATGTACACACAGCGGGAAAACAAAGGTAACACAACTATGATTTAATTTAATTTAACTTGCTGAGACTTAGAGAATAAAATAGAATGTAAAATTTTAATTACTTTAAAATCCTGATAAATCATAATGAGGTAATAAGCTATAATTAGTGTATAAATTACATAGCACTCAGACTTTGTGTTATAGAAGCAGCTTAGGGTGTTAGTCATTTATATTTAATTATTAATATTAAAATAAATTATTGTAATATTACTGAAGTAATGTATATTATTTATAAACAAAATAATTTTAATATGTAAAAATCATGTACGAAAAGGTATGCGCTCTATTTTTATATTTGATTAAATTAGTACTTCATTCTCATCATTCATCTATCGCATATTTCTAATTGATTTATTTTTAATCTTTCCTCTAATTTGATTATCTAAACTTGCTGCAATTTCTTCATCTTGGCTGTTCTAGATTCTGGTATGATATCACTTCCTTTCACTTTAGACTATTTCTCTCTCTTTCCTCTGCCTGCTGCTGATGCTGGTGCTCTGGCATGTTCCAAAGACAACTTTTGCATGCGTGGCCTGTCTAACTTTTATCCTGATTTAACGAAACGGATCCGTACTTCCTATCAGAGTAAGTTCTATAAAGATTAGGCAAATAAATAACTTAATAGCTTTGTAAGTTACAATGCACAATGCTTGAATTAAGTCCATGTATCCGTGCCCAGTAATGTGTTTTTTGAAAACACATTCAACATGCATGCTTTTTTTTCTTTTGTTATGAAAATGCAACCTTTCAATTTTAAAAATAATAAAATACATATTCAAACCATTGTCTTATATTAATTTATTCATGAACCATTGTTTCAGTATTTATTTCAAACCATGTAAACTTTGTCTTATTAGTCCAAGTATCACTTTCTTTTGTTTTAAGGGGAAAAAAGCTCTGGTGTCCTTGTACATAATGAATCTAAATAATTGAATGGGTTTTTTTTAAAAAACATGTCTTTAGTCATTTTTGTAAAATTATTTTAGCCAGCATTGCATTATTTGCTTTTTATAAGTAATTATATTTCATGAAAGTAAATATTACTATTTTCTGATGCTTTTCATTAAAACAGAATGCACACACATTTTGTAGTGATATTAGAGACCAAATACTGTTAGTTGTTAGAGTCACAATTGGAGGAGTCTATAATATTAAGATTTACTATAGTAGCAAATAAAATTTAAATATGATTGAAATAATTCTAAAAATTACGATCAGAAGATAGGGATTGAAGGCGTGATAAGAGGTATAAGTGATACCAGTAATGATATGGCAAATATGTACTAATTTGATTTTCTGGGGGTGGGAGGGACCACATCTGGTGATACTCAGGGGTTACTCCTGATATGGGATGCCATGGATTAAAATCAGGTGAGGAGCTTGCAAGGCAAATCCTTCACCCACTATACTATCTCTCTGATCCCATGAAAAAGTATTTTTTAATTTGTGGATTGTTTGTTTTTTAAATTTTGTGGGATAACTATAGCGATAGCAGAGCGGGTAGGATGTTTGCCTTGCACACGGCCGACATGACCAAGGAGTTCGATTCCTCCACCCCTTTCAGAGAGCCCAGCAAGCTACTGAGAGTATCTCACCCTCACAGCAAAGCCTGGGAAGCTACCCGTGATGTATTCAATATGCCAAACACTGTAACAAGTCTCACAATGTTACTGGGCCCACTCGAGCAAATCAATGAACAACGGGAGGATAGTGACAGTGACAGTGACTATTCCCAGTTCTGTGCTTGAAAGTTTTTTTCCCAGTGGTGTCCAGTATTGAATCCAGGCCTTCTGTGTTCTTTGCTTGCTGTCAGCCCATTTATTTGTCTCTGCCCAGAAAAGATGGGTTACAATAGGTTAATCAATATGTTATTTCAAAAAAAAATTAAATTGCTTTACAGTAAATACAAGATTGCCTCATGTTTACATAAAACACATATACATTTTGCTTGTATTCTAAATTTCATTACACCTTACCTTACCAGCTTCTAGATACTAATGGAATCATCTTACATTCATTGGTGTGTTTCTCTACATAAAGGAAGTTTGTGTGAAATCCTTAAAATATCTTTGAACATTGACTGAGGAGAGTAGCTCAATGGACTCTAGTTGAGCTCGTCCGTCCTGCTAGCTTTGCATGCTAGCTTTGCATGCAGGAGTTCTGGGTTTGATCTCTTATACTGCATGAGCCCCTGAACACCACTGGGTATGGCCTAAAGACAAACAAAAATTGTGCATGCCTCGAGGATTACTGATTTTACCTATTAATAATCTCTAATTTGCTACTCTAGCATAGCACTCCCATTTTGAGTCCTCCCAATGCTTCTGCTCCTAAAACAGAAATATACTAAGTGTTATGATATCTTGACATCAGAAAATTATATGGAATTTTAGTTTTCATAAATAATCTTATTGGAACACAGCCACACTCTTTCATTTACATATTGTCTATGACTGCTTCCAATCTAAAGTGATACGGTCAAGTAGATGTAACAGAAATAACAGCCCAAAGGAAATAAAATTTTTTTATATTTTGCTCTTTAAATTAAAAAGTTGACTGCTCTTTACTATATTTTTTTACTTCTCTCCTGTTGTATAAAGGGTTCCAGTAAAGTTTTTTCTGTAAACGAGTTTTAGGTGACTTAATATACGTATACCCAGTCTTCTGAATCCCAGTTTATCCTTCTCAAGGGTAAATCTCTCAACACTATGTGTTCATGTTATCCTCCTGTATAGCTAGAAAAAGTTTCTGAAATATGATATTATTTACAAATTACCTTAGTTTTATTGTGTTTCTGATATTGTCGCAATAAGTATATAATACTTTCCTACTAAGAAAAGAGAGAAAAGATATGAGCACTAAAGACAAGAAGGCCATTAGGGAATAAAAATTATATATTAATATCAGTTATTTAATAAAGATTTTTAAAAGTCTGGGATTTACACATTTACTTCTGACTCTTGTATAATATTGCATAGCCTAGAAAATAAACAGCAGGAGTTGGTGCTGTAGAAATATTTCATGTCCAGTTTCATGCTTTGCATGATGGAGGCCTATGCTTGATCCTTGGAACTGCATCATCCCCAAGCACAATCAGGAGAAGTCCCTCAGCACAGATCAGGGAGTAGTTCCTGAGTACTCCTGGCTGTGCCATCCTCCTTGCAAAAAAGATTTTAAACCTTCATTCAGAGCATTCAAAAATAATTTTTTTTATTTTCTTAAGACCTCCATAAAGCACTCTCCTTAAGGTGAGAGAGATAGCTCAAAAGGCTGAGTGCCTGCTTTGCATGAGAGAAGCCTCTGTTCAGTCCCTAGTTCAGCATCATCCCCTGAGCACTACCATAGGTGATCCCTGAAGTAATGATCTGGGAGAAGCTCCAAGCACCCAAGAACTAACAGTTTGCCCCTGAGAAAGACAAACAGAAAACACTCCCTGTAAGCCTAACTTAGATATGTAGGGCCCTTTATAATTTGTTCAGATAGTCTCTAAAAGTTACCTATTCAAGTTTTACCCACAAAAGTAATACTTTCCCCTTACCATCAAAGTTCTCATGTGCAGATACCTTTAAGTGCTTATAGTACTCAGACTTGTATCTAGTAACATCTAACTACTTGATTGGTATTCAGCTTAGATTCATTTCTGTACTAATTTATCCATGCCTGATGGGATTTTGAACCTGAAATTAAGATCCTAAAGTAAATATCTAAAATGATTTATATTGCTTAAAAACCAGAATGATGCCAATAAGTAAATATTGATGCTACGAGGATAGCACATTACAAAGGATTCTTTTGCTTTTCAATTTCGAAAAAAAAATAAAAATAGAGATATCTTCTGTCACTGTCACTGTCCTCCCATTGTTCATCGATTTGCTCGAGCGGGCCCAGTAACGTCTCCATTGGAGATTTTGTTGTTATTGTGTTTGGCATATCGAATACATCACGGGTAGGTTGCCAGGCTCTGCCATGTGGGCGAAATACTCTCGGTAGCTTGCCGGGCTCTCCGAGAGGGGTGGAGGAATCGAACTCGGGTCGGCCATGTTGGCTGCGTGCAAGGCAAATGCCCTACCGCTGTGCTATCGCTCCAGCCCATATCTTCTGTAGTTACTAAAAATAAAGATATTTTCTGTAGTTACTGATGTCACTACTGAGAAACTGTAGTTTCCTTTAAACAAAAATCTAATGTATTAAGACAGAAGTAAAATCAAGTCCTTAGAAGGACATCAAGAAATCCTTCACATATTAACAAGTGGTTTTCATGGTAGCTCAGACAAGCCGTGAAATTTGAGAGAAATTTTTTCCCCACAGTTCCAAGCATCAAAACCAAGACTTCAAACAGGAGAGGAAACTGTACTTTTTATTTCTGAGAGTATATCTCATTTACTCTCTTCTCCTAGGTTCTTTCACAAGTCACCTTAGAATGTAGGCTAGGTACAAAGGAATTGTCTTGTACAAATTCATAAAGTCTCATCTCTAACTCTTACACATCATAGAATAATAAAACTATATCTCACAATAAACCTCTTGACTTTTTTTAGGACCATGAAATGGTATAAAATAATCATGGCGTCAGAAGATTTATATCAAGCTTTTTTTTTCTATTTAACTACTCAAAATTAAAAATTGAATAAATCATTTAATTTAACTGCTCTGACTTTTTAATTTCCCTCCACATAAAGTAAAAACAAGTCATACCTCCCTTTGAGAAATTTGTGAATTTACTGGGTGTTTGTTAATACATTTCTATAAATATTTAAAATAATAATATTTATTATTAATGTTATTAAAGATGAAGTCAAACTATAAGAAAAATAATGTCTCAATTAATTCAACTTATGGAGGACTTAGAACTAACATCAAGTTGGCTAGTCTATTCTCAGTGATTTTTCTACTTGCTATAATGACAAAAAAGTATTTTAATAGTATATAATTTGAACTAGGGTACTTTAAAGTTAGCAATATTATCCAGAAATAAATGCTTGTGCAACAGCTTATAGTTATTCAGTGAGATATCTGATGGAGGATCATTTGGAAAGCCTGTCAACTATAAATACTTTTTCTTCCAACTGCATAAATTTTTAGAGTGTTAGGTAAAACAGATCCTTTAAAATTAAAATTAATAACCATAAATAACAAAGACTAGGGAATGACAAGAACAAGAAAAAACTAGCAAAGAAAGGCAAATATTTTTAAATGTAATAAAGTTATGGATAAGAAACAAAATCAGCAAAAATTATAATAATAAGTGAGGAAATTAATTGAAGAAATAATTACTAAGCTATTTTTGTGTTAAATTATTTTCAGACCCTAATAAATGAATAAAGTGATAAATAAAATAATCATGATCTTTTCCCTCAATTTCTAACATAAAAGTTAAGAAATTCATAAATATGCTTTATAATGAAAAAAAGATCAAGAATTTTATGAAAAAGAAATCTACTTTTGAGTGCAATTAGGAATGACATTTTTTAAACTAACCAGTACAAGTAAAGACCCACGTAAAAGGACTGAAGGAAATAGTGCCTATTCCTACCATTCAGACTGGACAAAATTTATGATTAACATCCACTTTTAGTTTATTCTGT